AATTGACGATAACTTTTGTACAGGTAATTTTACATCTGTTATATACTTTTTAAAAGTAGAAAAGATATCTTCTCCTCTGGTGCTTCCCTTTAATGGCAGAACTTTAAGGAATTCTTCTTTTGTTGTAAAATCAGAAAATACCATCTTCACGCAAATTGCTAATTGTGATATATTTGTCACGTCTGCCGATTCATCCATCTGTAGCAAAAAGAAAATACAATTTTCCATATCATTTGCTAATTCTGCCTCCAAATTCTGCGCAATTACTTCAATTCTTCTAGTAACAGTTTGTGCTGATAACTGCAACATGTTTATAGTTGAAACTATTTCCTTTTTATTTTTAAATTCTTCAAAAAGTGAATCAGCAGCTTCTAACATGGCTTCTTTCACTAATTCTCCATCTGTAAATGGTTTTTTATTCTTAGCTAGCAAATGCGATATTTTATATGACGCGATCGTTGCTGCTTTATGTTGTTGCAGTGGTTTAGTAAAAAAACTTTGCTGGTTAGTTATTGAAGATTTTAAAGAAATATTTTTTTTTTCTTCTAATTTCAGAGTTCATTGGATAGTCACTATCAAAATTGGTATGAACGGTCTTAAAATATCGTTCAATATTACTTTTCTTGTGAATCGCAACACTATTATTACACAACAAACAAATACACTTCACTTTGTAATCAACGAAACAATACAGATGTTCCCATTCATCGTTAAAATAATATGTTCTTTTTCTTTTACATTTATCCATGAAGGGTTTAGAAAGAAAAGAATTATTTCGGATTACTTGGTAGTTTTAAATGCACAGTCTACGCGTGGTCTATTCGAAATACGATCACACACTAACAAAAAATACGTGCGTATTATTAGATACGCTCAAGGTTAGCAAACTGCTAATCTATGCACAATCCTACACTCAACTGACTACTGTCTAACCACGCTAGCGAGAGCAGTTTGGCTGAGGGCCAAGATGGGTCAGTTTAATTGAAGGGGTGTGTGGGCGAAAAGCGCGGGTATTTTTCCCTCTCGAAGGTCGAAGGGGTGTGGGTGAAATCGAAGGTCAGGGGACATTTAGTGTCTACCAGGCTACTGCACTCACCCCTACATAAGTGATAGATGTGCCCACTTCCGCCCCAAACCGGATGTTTACATAGATCTGGAATACGTGGTCAGACAGTACTTGCTGTATATTGCCATTTGACAAGAGTAAGTAAATCGCTCTGGCTATCATACATTTACATTAGTCCAGCGAGGGCGCATTAAAAATCGATCGGGGGCGCCATGGTGCCCGCGTTGCCTACCGCTGGTATAGACCTTTCTGACAGTTTTCAATGAATTTTTCAAAAAAACTGTCTTGGTCAGCGAGTTTATTATCATCTCTTCTACTAGAACGATCTTGGATATCATCAAATCGAAGGCCTCTTAGGAGGAAAAGGAATCACTTGCAGGACATTGGTTTTGTGGAAAATATCCATTCCAGTTCCATCTGTTGCCCACAGATCTTTTACATTGATGTGAGTGGATTTGTGAACACCACATATATACAAAAGTCTCAAATGTGCCTTGATTTCACATTCATCCATTTTCTTTAAATCGCGCTCACGTACAAACCGCTCCTGAATGGAATCAATGTAAATATTTGTACATTAAACTATTATTCCTATCATGTCTTTTTCAATGTGCAGAGCCAGGAAACCAATGGTGCTGATGCATCTTTCGAATAACCAGTATTTCTTGGACCTTTTGAAGATCATGTTTTTAGAACTAGTTCTAACATTTGTTTTTGTTCCATATCAGGCCAATTTTACCAACATAATTTTCATCATTTCATTGATTTTCTAATTCACTATCTATTTCAGTGTCTGTATCACTGTATGTTGATGAATTATGATTGCTGTTGTATTCATCTATTAATTCTTCCTCTTCGCTAAATGATTCATCATCTGTTGCAAAAATTTCTAGCATATTTCTCAACCTTTCCATTTCTTTATCATAACTTAGATGCCGCACCATGCTGACTAACTAAGAAAGTGAGGGTGAAAATATGAGAGATGCGAGAAGCCGCATGGGTGTCACATACCCAAATGGTTAAATTCCTACAAAAATATTCGAAGAATCACTCCACGAACTTCCCAGCTTCAAGAATGTGACCTTGACTTCAGCTACAAAAGGTTTCACATATTTCTACGAAAGGGGTTTGAAGATAAAGGACAAAGAGTACGCCTCCAGGTATGTTATATCCAGTGCACGTGCTCACATGTTAAAAAGAACTCAGAACATAAGGGCACGTTCTTCTGCTAGCAAAATACACTACATCTCGTAGTGATGTAATTAAACAGGAACAGTCAGATTCAAAGTAAAAACGTCTACTGGTAGTCAAAGACTATACAATTTAATTGTAATTTGAGTTGCAACAGTAACTCTATCGTCGTAACAAATTCAAATGTCGGCAGCGATAACAGCGATCCCTCATCAGGACTTCGCCGATTCCGGATTATCGGTTTTTCCAGATTATAGATCATCAAATTAAATCTGGTAAGATGGGATGCAGAAACTATGAAATTAAAAATATGAAACTGTAATTTATGAAATAAAAGAGCAATTATGATCTAAAGGGTATCAAAATTTACAAAAAAAAAAAGCTTAATATTTATTTGTTTACTTTATTAAACATTTCTTTCAACGTGCACATGCGTAAAGCACACATTACGCATAGTCGAAATTAGAAAATTGCAACCAGAAACTATTTGATGTGTATTCGTGATATTTATAATGACGAGGAATTTGATTTAAATCATATCAAAGACAGAGTACATCGAGATGAAATAATACATTTAGTAAGGAATTATAAGCCAAATAAAATAAAAACATCTGCCCTGAAGATAAGGATAGTGCTGACAGATCAACTTCCAGTTCATTGCGCGCCGCGACATAACCGAGGCTGGAATTGTTTCCACTTCAAACATTCTGTAGGGTCCTCTATGTTTCCTCTTCTTAGATTTTATGCAACGCACTTCACTGGTGACCCAGACATGATGTGAATATGCAATTTTCTGATCAGCAGTGAAATGCATTGCATAAAATCTAAAACACTATTAATATAAAGAACAAACTACTTTAAACAATTTTATTAACAGGAAACCCCGATTGGAACAAATATTGAGTGGCTTCTTGAAAATGACATTATAAAGAATGTTTATCTTTCGAACAGTCTTTTTGTGATGTCATTTTACAAAAATTAAAACATAATGAAATTAAAGATAAGATGAAGCGTTAACATAGAGGTTGCTCCACACTCCTTTTCCTGGTTATGTTTTATTAATCATGAAAAGATTCATATGGCCCAATATCAATAAAGCTTGTCAGTTATATGGTGTAGGGAATGCATAGAATGTTGCCAATCTAAGGTTCAAAGACATGCAAAGTCAGCTCTTATGGACTTCCTGGACAAAGTTCCACCTGAATGTTTTCAAAACGTACACATTGATTGTGTTGGACCCTTGTCTTCATGTCAAAGTTTTAGATACTTACTAACAATGATTGATCGTTCTTCAAGATGGGTTGAAGCCCTTCCTATAGCGGATGAATAAGCAGAAACAGTTGCAAAGGGATCTCAACCTCGACTTATCGTTTTGGAATTTCACACCATATTACATCTGATCAAGGACCGTCAGTTTGAAAGTCAACTCTTCTCATCTTTAAGCAAATACTTTGTTTTTCAAAAATCCAGAACAGCAGCATACAATCTACAGTCAAACAGACTGATTCAGTGACAACACAGGATTATAAAAGCAAGCTTGAAATGTCATTTACAACAAATCAAATCTTGGATAGACGCTTTATTTTTGGTTCTTTTTGGATTACGCTCTACGCTGAAAGAGGACATAGGATACTCTCCCCAGAAGAGCTTCTTTACAGAACTCCCTTCTGTTTACCCGGAGAATTCATCCCCACGATCCCTAATGTCACATACTCAGAGTTCGTGCAAAGTATTATCCGCAACATGAAACATTCCACAACTCCCTGTGGCAATATAACCGTATTCATTTCCAAAGACCTTTTTGAATTGCTCACATCTTTTCATCTACAATAATGTGGCCACTTCATCTTTGCAACTAGCTTATCTTGGGCCTTATGTTGTACACCCAGCATCAAAGTATTTTGTAATTGAAATTAATGGAACTATCAAAAGAATTTCAATTGATAGACTGAAACCATTTTTACCATAAAAGACAATGATGAGCAGCCTCTTGAAACCCACAGACACATGGATTATCCAGATCTGCACACACAGTGCAAACCTCGGGGAAAATTTCGCCACCATTCAGTCACAACCATACCACACGCAGTGGAAGGACTGTCAGATTTCCATCCCATTTAAAGAATTATGTCTCCTAATCGTTTTCACTTGGAAGGGAGCGTGTAGCATCCTCCATGCTTTCTCTTCATTTTATCTTTAATTTTTGTATGTTTTAATTTTCATAAGATTGCATCGCAAAAAGACTGTTCGGAAGATAAACATCCATTGGAATTTCGCTTTCAAAAGGGCACTTGATATTTGTTCCAATCTGTTTTCTAGTTAATAAAATTGTTTAAAGAAGTTTGTTCTTTCTAGTATATTAATAATACATTAGATTTTATGCAATGCACTTCAATTCAGCCAAACCCTAAAATAGCTCAATGTACGACTGACCTTATTAGTGTTATGTGACGCACTCTTGCAACTAAAATCGCAAGGCAAGGAGTTAAGAAATTTAATGGGAATGCCCCATTAGTTGTGAGGGAACACTAAAAATCTCTCATAACCACTATATTCTGAAATAAAGAATAAGATTATTTGAATTGAACACATTTGCAACCTTCAGCTAAAAATTCTCAAATTATAAAAATTACTGTAGGAAACAACTAAAGCAATTAACTCAAAGTACAAGAAATTAACTTAGAAGATGGAATTTTTAGACTGTATGCTATAAAACAAACTATTTTTGAAAAAGAAAAATTACCTCTGGATCAATTTCAAAAGATGGTAAAGGAGGGTCTGGTAGAATGGGTACTCCTTCATTTAACAATTCACAGGCTTCAAGAGGTATGGGTAATAATCCTTCTTCTAAAAATTCAGAAAGATCATCAGGTATGGGCTCTCTATGTATAGCAAGCAATTCATAGAGAAGAAGAGGTATATCTTCTATAGTTGATTTCAAAAGCTTGGCAGTCTGTACTGCTACATTTGAAGTAGAATGGTAGATTCTTGAGAAGACTACAGGGTCATCTAAAATTTTCAATTTTTCTAGATCCTCGCTCAGATCTTCCATACCTTCTGAAACCATTTCTACCTGTTCTGTATCTTCTGAAGGCTTTTTCACTTCTTCTGAATCCTTCTGAGTATCTTCTGAAGCACTTTTCATTTCTTTTGTATCTTCTGAAGGTTTTTTCGCATCTTCTGAATCCTTCTGTGTATCTCCTGAAACACTTTTCATTTCTTCTGTATCTTCTGCTGCCTTTTTCATAGCTTTTACATCTTCTGAATCTTTTTTTGTATCTTCAAAAGCACTTTTCATATCTTTTGTATCTTCCGAATCTTTTTTTGCAAGTTTCATTCTTTTAATTATTTTTTTATTTTCTGCAGATATTTCCGCAACTTGAAGCCTTTTTTCCAAATATTTCATCTCAGTATACCAAAATTCGCGACTAACGCTATTTTCCATATACCTTAGTCTTACTCTTTTCCAGTCCTCTATACACTGTTTTGTTTCTTCAATTCCAAAATAGTCCCAATGTTTTACTGTTTCTACTTGTTTTGTATCTTCTGAAGCTTTTTTCGCATCTTCGGACTCCTGCTGTTCTACTGTTTCTACTTGTTCTGTATCTTCTGAAGCTTTTTTCACATCTTCTGACTCCTGCTGTTCTACTGTTTCTACTTGTTCTGTATCTTCTGAAGCTTTTTTCGCATCTTCTGACTCCTGCTGTTCTACTGTTTCTACTTGTTCTGTATCTTCTGAAGCTTTTTTCGCATCTTCTGACTCCTGCTGTTCTACTGTTTCTACTTGTTTTGTATCTTCTGAAGCTTTTTTCGCATCTTCTGCTGCCTTTTTCATAGCTCTTACATTTTCTAACTTTTTTTTTAAATCTTCAAAAGCTTTTCTCATATCTGTTATATCCGGATATTCTTTTGCAAGTTTAATACTTTCAACTTTTTCTTCTGCAACTTCAAGCCTTTTTTCTAAATATTTCATCTCATTATACCAAAATTCACGACTAACGCTATTTTCCATATACCTTAGTCGTACTCTTTCCCAGTCCTCTATACGCTGTTTTACTGTTTCTACTTGTTTTGTAGCTTCTGAAGCTTTTTTCGCATCTTCTGACTGCTGTTCTACTGTTTCTACTTGTTCTGTATCTTCTGAAGCTTTTTTCGCATCTTCTGACTCCTGCTGTTCTGTTTCTACTTGTTTTGTATCTTCTGAAGCTTTTTTCGCATCTTCCGACTCTTGCTGTTCTACTGTTTCTACTTGTTTTGTATCTTCTGAAGCTTTTTTCTCATCTTCTGACTCCTGCTGTTCTACTGTTTCTACTTGTTTTGTATCTTCTGAAGCTTTTTTTGCATCTTCTGACTCCTGCGTATCTTCTGAAGCACTTTTCATTTCTTTTGTATCTTCTCCAGCCTTTTTCATAGCTTTTGTATCTTTTGAATCTTTTTTTGTATCTTCAGAAGCACTTTTCATATCTTTTGTATCTTCTGAATCTTTTCTTGCACTTCTCATTTTTTCTGTATCTTCTGCAGCCTTTTTCATAGCTTTCGTATCTTCCGAATCTTTTTTTGTATCTTCAGAAACACTTTTCATATCTTCAAAATCTTTTTTTGTATCTTCAGAAGCACCTTCCATATCTTCCGAATTCTTTTCTATGTCCTTTAAAATTCTTTCCCAATTCTCTACCCTAACTTTCATAAACTCGTTTTCTTCATCTTCTGGAGATAAAAAATTTTTTAAGCTCTGGAGATCTAAAATTTTTTTTTTATCTTCTGTATCTTCTGAAGCTATTTCCTCGTCTTTTGTAGCTTCCGAAGCCATTTCCTTATCCTTTGTAGCTTCTGAAGCCATTTTCTTGTCTTTTGCATCTTCTGAAGCACTTTTCACACCCTCCGAAGATGCTTTTATATCATCTGAAACTTTTTTCAAACCTTCTGGAGCCTTTTTCATAGCTGTGGCATCCTCAAAAACCGTTTTCTTATCTTCTGAAGCCTTTCTTGCACCTACTGAAGCCTTTAACATATCTGCTGCATCTTCGAAAGCCCTTTTCTCATCTTCTGAAGCCTTTTCTGTACATTCTGAAGCCTTTCCTGTACCCAGTACAGCCCTTTTTATATATTCTGGAACCTTTTTTATTTCTTCTGGAGCCTTTTTTGAAGCTAGTATGTCTTCCATATCCCTTTCCATGTCCTTTAAAAACCTTGTCATGTCCTCTAAATGCCTTTCCATATTTCTCACACACTCTGAAGGCTTTACCTTTTTCTTAATACCCTCTGGAACACTTTTCATAACTTTTGGAGCCCTTTTCACATCTTCTGAAGTTTTTGTCACATTGTCTGTATATTCTGAAGCCCATTCTGAAGCCCTTTTCAAATCTTCATAAGGATTATAAGGATTTTTCACATGTTTTATACTTTCTGAAGCCCTTTTCTTGTCTTTTGTATCTTCTGAAGCCCTCTGCACATCTCCATAAGCCTTTTTCACATGTTTTGTACTTTTTGAAGGCCTTTTCTTGTCTTTTGTATCTTCTGAAGCCCTTTGCACATCTTTCATACCCTCTGACGATGTTTTTGGGTCATCTGAAACTTTTTCCATATCTTCTGAAGCCTTTTTTGTACCATCTGAAGCCTTTCCTGTACCATCTGAAGCCTTTCCTGTACCTACTGAAACTTTTTTTATATCTTCTGAAGCCTTTTTCATAACTTCTGAAGCTTTTTTTGCATCTTCTGAAGCCTTTTCTGCATCATCTTCTCCATCCGTATCTTCTGCTCTTTCTGTATTATTTTCTTCGTCTATATCTTCTTCATCCTCTTCATCTTCTTCATGCTCTTCATCTTCTACATCCCTCTTCATACGTTCATACCGAACTACTCCTTTCTTAACTAGTTCATCCTGTAGAACCGTAGGAAGCCTATGTATGCTGAAACCATCACCAGATAGTAGTTTCTTCAAATAATGACCTGTCAGAATAACCTGCTCTTCTCCTGCAAATGAGAAACATTCAAATTCAACAACTATAGAGATTAAATGTGAAATCTGTTGGAATGAACAGCATTATATACAATGTATGTATTATATACAATAGATATTATATTATATATATTATATACAATGGATTATATTATATACAATGGATGTATATGGAAGAAAATGAAACAAGGTACAAAGTGAGAAAGTCACTTTGAAATTATAATTACAAAAATAACATTTATTCATGACATTTGAGGCAACCTAACGGTTTCATGGCCAAAACCACAATGCTTGGAGGGTTACACAAAAACTTGGAAATTAATCCTAAAATCAGATGCAGACTAGAAACAAAACAATTTTATAAAGTCTTAAGATATTTTCTTTATTCCATAAATATGTGGTGTAATTGGAAGCATATGGGCTAGAACCTAATGACTCTACAAAGTTAATAATACTTTTGATCTTTTTAAGAAGCAACCAAGAGATCCGCAAAGTCACGTTTCTGAATTATATTTGAATGAAATGCTGCACTAAGAACAAAATGGTAAACTAATGTTTTTGATTAAATACTAATACTTTTTAATGTCTCTTTGAAAACAATTAATTACTAAAGTATAAATAAATATGCTCCATAGTACTCAAGTAAAATTTTTGAAGCACTCAGAAAAGGAGTTAGTTGAATAATATTCAGAAATTTTACTGCAATATACCTTAATTTCAGTGTTTAAGTAATGCAGTACAAAGTCCAAGATCCAGACTCTCATTGGGACTTCAGTGATTCCAGATTTGGCACTTTTCTGAATATTAGATCATTAGTTTAAATCTAGTAATATGATATGCAGAAATTATAAAATTAAAAATATGAAACAGTGCTGTATGAAATAATGAAGCATTTACGACCTTAAAGGAGTCAAGATTTACAAAAATGCTTATTATTTATCTGTTTGCTTTATTAAACATTTCTTTCGATGTAAGCTGTTTATGTTGCTTCATTTTTTTTTTGCTAATACTTTCTCTTTAATTATGTAGACAGACATAATCTCTTGTTCAATGACAAATTTCCATTGTTTCGAGTCTTTAATTGCCGAGTCAAGAATTCTAACTAAATTGTCAATCAAAACCTTTTCATTCTCAGTAACCTCTCTGTCACTTTCTTCACTATTAGTAGTGATATTTTCTGTGTATAGAATCATACTATAGATTCTACCGTCTGTTAGTAGAATTGACGATTGGGGCATTATCATCGCAATGAAAAACTTCTGCCATATTGTTTCAATTTATTACCATTTTTTCCACAAATTCTGTTAATTTGGAAATTTCACCTATTGTTCCCAATAGCAACTCATTATAAACTTTCAAATTAAGGGCTATTATCACAAAGCTTAGTCAACATACGCTTTTCACACCTGGTGGTGTATCCTGAGATAGGTAACTAGAGACATGGTGTTCACTAAATTTTCCCTTACTTCTTCAGTGTGCTGAGAAAGCAAAGCCAAAATTACATTAGTGTAGTTATCTATTTTTTCAGATGGAAAGAAACTTCTATAAAATTTCTCGTCAGCACTTCATAGCACAGTTAGCTGCAATCTGTAATCAAAGCCAAGCATAAAGTTAATATAGATTACCATGCTTCCTGGTATTCAGTTACAAATACTTTAAAAAAATGCTTAGACATCTTTGCATGAATCATTTCTCAGGCTGCCATGTGTTGATAGTCATGCAGTGGTGAAAGCAAAAAAATACTAAATAATGATTTGCCACACTGGCATATAAGTTATTCATTAATTATAAAGCCAATGGTGTTTTGATGTACAATGTTTCAGTTTCAGATGTATATCAAGCAGACAAACGACTATGGAGCCAAATTATTGAAAATGCAGATTTATCCTAGTAAATGATTGTTTTTTCAACATAGAGGTATTTTATTTAGTGAAATTAAGACTCCTAACTTGATTTATTATGAAAAAGTGTCTGCTCTGGAAATCCGCATTGCAGTGAGTACACCACAGCATAAGGATAAAAACTTGAACATTTTTCACAGAAACTTGCTTGCTACTTACTTCTTTTTTTTTTTTCGGGGGGGGGGAGGCTGTTCATGGCCGATGTCTGACATCAACACACGTGTGTGTTAATTTTTAAATATTTAGCCTCTTGTGAGATGCACTTTCCTTCATTCAAATGTTAAACCTGGTTTTAACTGTTAGCTGAAGTTTGTGAGTCTTAGGCCTTTCTAATGACCTTCGGATGAAGTCTAATGGCATTGAATCATTGCCATATTTGGTCACCTAAAGCAAGAACTGATACCTGCCTTGAAAACTGGTTGTGATTTTCACACATTTCATTTTGTACAGAAGATAATCTTGTGGTCCAGAACTTATTGTACACCTTATTCTGCACAGTCCTACTTTCGTTGAAGGAGTGATGAATGAAGTATGCTGTAGTTTTATGCTGAAGAAAGTTTTTGAGCAGCATAAATGGATTTTGTAATTTCACAGCAGGATTATATCAGTACAAATAATTTTCAAGAATATTTCGGTGAAGGTTTTCATTTGTGTGTCAGTGCTGAAACTGGATTACCTTTTTAAATTATTTTTTGTATGTTTTTTTTTTAAGTGAAAGCAAGTGTTTAAAAAAAAAGATTTTTAACCGATAATTTAATCGGATTTTATATATTTTTATTATAAAAATATTTATTATTATATAATATTTTTAGGATATGTTTAAAGTGTATTTTTTAAAGAAAATATTTTTTACCATGCATCCCTGGTATTCACTTGAGTTAATTTTCCTTATTTGTTAATCTGCACAGGATATTTTTACAATGTGAATATTTAATATTTTGTTAAGATTTGTATAATTTTTATTCTATGTGTATCCCTAATGGTTATTAGATGCATGGTAGATCTTATATCCCTTTATACCATGTTTAGTACTTACCTTTTTCTTATGTTTGCAATTAGAACCAAATATCTGTTCTAAATTTAATAGTCATGTGAATAAAAATTCTACTAATAATTTTCCAACTGAAAATATTGCAGCTTTGGAGGTATCACATGTTTCAGTAAAATTACGGTCTTTTTGGAAAATAAACCCTGCATTATAATTTGCTAGACTAAAATCACAGTTTTTCCTTTCTAATATAACTTGTGGATTTAAAAAATTTAGCCATGATGTTGCAGCTGTGTATTTTGATATACTTAATTCCGTTAGCAATATCATTTTAAAACCTCCCACTACTGGCAAATATGACATCTTAAAAGACTTGATCAATCCAAAGGTTGATTGCAATACATTCTGAAAGCAAAGCAACAAAAATTGTACTCTGTTGCAAGATACTGGCCTTGGCCACCAGCACCATCCTCAGTTGTTGACTCATATGTGCAGTTTAGCAGGTGATACCATAGGTGAACCATTGTTAAGATCTAGATACACCAAAAGTGCACAAGTTAAACAACAACTTTGATTAAAATGAGAATAACTGCATTTGTTTTCTTAATCTTCTATCATTTATCGATTTATAATATATTTAACATGCTTTAAACTTTCTTTTTATGTTTGGGAACCATATTTTAATTTACAAATCTATCGCTCTACATACGAGGGCTATCCAGAAAGTAGATTACGTTTTGGAATAAAAAAATAAACAAAGTATAGGAAACAAATTTTATTATATACAGATGAAAGCCACACTCAAATACTACTTTTCTACATAGTCACCATACAAATTAAGGCATTTATCGTAGCGATGTACGAGCTTGGAAATTCCTTCGTCGAAAAATTCGGCCGCCTGCGCCTTCAACCACTTCGTTACCTCTTCTTGCAGCTGTGCGTCGTCATCAAAACGCTGCATAGCCAGCCACTTCTTCATTGCTGGGAATAGGTGGAAGTCGCTCGGTGCCAGGTCGGGGACTGTACGGCGGATGAGGAGGACAACTCCCACTTAAAAGATTCAAGAACTTTACGAGTGACATTTGCCGTGTGGGGCCGGGCGTTGTCGTGAATCAACAAGATCTTAGAGCTCAACATTTCCTCTGCACTGTTTTGAATTGCTCTTCTGAGTTTTTGGAGAGTTTGGCAATACCTTTTGAGAGTTTATTGTAGTGCCTTTTCCAGGAAGTCCACCAAAATTACACCTTTTCTGTCCCAAAAAAAACAGTCGCCATCATCTTCCTTGCCGACATTGTTTGCTGCATTTCTTGGGTTTTTGGGGAGAACTTGTGTGCCCCCACTGCATTGATTGCAATTTCGTTTCACAGTTTCACATGTTTCACCCATGTTTCGTCACCAGTAACGATGCGATCGAGGTAAAGAGTCACCATCCTTATGGTAAGCGTCCAAAAAGTTCAACGCTGCAGCCATTCGCTGATTTTTGTGGTCCTCTGTCAAGATTTTTGGAATCCATCTTGCACAAAACTTGTGGTAACCAAGCTTTTCGCTGATGATTTCAAGCAAACAAACTTCGCGAAATTTGTGGGAAAACTCAAAGAAAGTTCCGTTATTGTGTGAAATTTCGATTTTCACGGACTTTAGCATCGACTTTTTCGAGAAGAAGTTCGGCGGGGTCACTATGCCGGGTCTCCCACTTCGATCTTCGTCGTGAACATTGGTTCGGCATTTTGAAATCTTATGACCCACTGACGCACTCCACCTTCAGTGATAATGTTGTCCCCATACACTTCACGAAGCTTGCCGATAGATTTCTATCGGTTTACAGTTTTTTGCAGTCAGAAACCTTATTACTGAGCGCACCTCGCAGGATTTTCAATTAACGCAGACATTTCAAACCGTCACAGTATCTGAACGGAGCACAGCACGAACCTCTCACTAGCACGGCTAGATGCAGACTGAGCTGCGCAACGCTCTGACCCCAAGATGGCCGCGCTAGCCCCGCCCCTAACGGACACAGACGGAAACGTAATCTACTTCCTGGATGGCCCTCGTAATTATTCTTGTGAATATGAATCATATTTCAAATGTTGACACTTCATTCATCCAGAGTAAATGTTTTTTACCAAATTCTTAATGTGTTAGTACAAATTGTAAATTTCATTTAATATATAAATGTAATGAGATTTTTTTTTTTTAATTTACACTGATTTAAAAACTCCTCAATGTATGTGCTATTCAAAACTTAAATATTTTTAGATTTAACCATTTGAAAAATGTTTTTTTCTTAGACCTAAGAAAATAATCCTTTTGCATCCATTAACAATTTTAAAGTAAAGTGGAATTTTGAAAGATTTTAACAACAGTAAAGCTATATTTTTCACCAATGAGTGATGATTCAATTGTAGCAAAAGTTTGTACAGCAACAAACTAAACTGCATATTTTGCAATGCAGCTAGGATTACAAATATTCACTAATGGCCATCATTCAGAACAAAAAACCATTAGGCATGGCACTACACTCTGCACATCATTATGAAGGTTCAGATGTAATTCTTGCCACATGATGGCTAATAACGTTTTTCAATATGGCCAATAATGCCAGCCAACCCTTGCACACATCTGATTTCAAGCAGCCTTGTAACTAAAAGTTACTAGATGGAAGGTTTGGAGACCTTGGTGGCCATTCTAGCAGGGAAGCAAATGAGAACCTGTTCAGTGACAAATGTCATTCACAGCAAGTGCTGGGTAGGAGCTATGCACAGGCATTCTATCTTGCATAAATGTCACTTGCCTGTCCTGCAAGGAGGCAATCACATTATCTCTTAAAAGCATTATAAATGTCACTTGCCTGTCCTGCAAGGAGGCAATCACATTGTCTCTTAAAAGCATTGCATAATGCTGTGCTTTTAAGAGACTGCAATAGAAACACTTCAAAATATACCACTGTGGACTTCCTCAAAGAAAAAAGGGCCTATAATGAATGACAATATGAATCGTACTATCAATTTTGACTGCTGGCAAGGGTTTCCACAATTGCATTTCATTTCTTTCTTGCATAAATGAGGCATTTGTGTGCATTTATACTTCCGTTACGTGACAATGTCTGTATTATTGAAAGCCTGTATTATTTACCATCTACTGAAATGCCTTACTTTTAAATTCCTGACACCTCTTGAAATTGGCCGTTTTCAGAGTCTTTCATGGGGTTAATGACGTTGAACCACAAATTCTAATGTAACATATTAGAGCATGGTACACTGCGCAAAAAAAAAGAGGAGGACTGTTCTATATTTCTCGTTCTACTGGGCTGATTAACGGAATCCAAACTGCGTTTTTCGTGTCTCAAAAGCGAGACTTAGGATATACATTAGATTTATATATAGCATTCTTCTAACTTAGGAGTTTTAACACAAAATCGGACTTTTTCTGAAATGACATGCCAAATTATGCCTAAATATTAAATTTTATAAAATGTAATGCAAAATTTACAGAGAAATTGAAAAATTTATTTTGGAATATTTTTTTTTTCAATTTGCATCAAGAAAAATTCACTTGGCGAATTTCTTAATTTATGGCAACCTATTTTCCTTTCCCTTTTTACACTGTGCATAAGAGGGTAAGTCGCATTGTTTCTACTTTCAAATAATTTTAACAAAATGCCTAAACCATATTTGATGTTTTATTGATTTGAACAAATATGCCAAATTACAAAATGCGTCATGTTATATCTTCAGAAATTTTGAAAAAAACTCTGATGCTTTGCAGGTATACTTAGAAATACATCTACTTTAAGATCACGGTAAAACTTTTACAGGTTGTAAAACAAAATTTTTCGAAAAACTTTTTAAAATACAAATTTTAAAAATAAATCATAAAAAATGAGCGAATTTTATTTGGAATGCACCTAAATTTTGAATTGTTTAGTAAAAAAGAGAGATTAATAAATATATACCAAATTCAATTAACATCGAGGAGATAAAATTTTGAGAGCAAATTTTTTAAAAACTACTCGTGCAATTTTTACAAGACTTAGCAGTTTGGAATAATTTGAGTCTTAGAATCAAAATATGGAAAAAACTCGGCACGTCATATCAAAAAATGTCCAATTTTGTGTCAAAATACCTATATCAGCTCAATGCTATATATAAATCTAAGACATCCTAATTCGCACTTTTGAGACATGAAAAAGGCAATTGAATTTTGTCAATCAGCCTAGTAGAACAGAAGAATTGTCGCCCCTTTTTTTTGCACAGTTCGCATTTACCAATTACATTAAACTTCTCAAATACAAAGTTATACAACTGAAGTTTTCCCGTGGAACATACCTTTCAGAAACAAAACATAAGCAGTATTTTCATTATGTCATAGACTATCATATAGATACTGGATATATTACGCAGAGGAAAAGTTAAATACTTACCTAAAGCAGTTAAAACTATCTCACTTTCTGAAGTGGCATTATTATTATAATGGCCATGGCGAATCATAATAATATTTCGTGTAAATCTTGGAATATATATTTTTTCCTCTTCCTCCTCTTCTTTTTTTTCTTTGACAGATTCATCTTCTGCAAAAGTTTCTGCAGTAAATTCACCATCTTCTATAAAACCTTCTATAAAAGGGTATACTTCATATCCATATTCCTTCTCATTTTCCTCTTCTTCATCTATAATAATTTTATATTCATCTTCATCTTCAATTTTATCTTCAACGTCTAAGGAAGATTCTTCTGAGGAAGTTTCTTCTGAACTAGATCCTTCAGATATTTTTTCAGGTTTGGCCTTCTTAGCAGTTTTTTTTTCAGCTTCAACTTTTTTCCCAGACTTTTTTTCAGGTTCAGGCCTTTTTCCAGATTTTTTTTCAGGTTCAGGTTTCTTTCCGGTTTTTTTTCCAGACTTTTTTTCTGGTTCAGGTTTCTTCCAAAGCTTTTTTTCATGTTCAGGCTTTTTTCCAGGTTCAGGTTTTTTTCCGGCTTCAACTTTTTTCCCAGGTTCAGGCTTTTTTCCAGCTTCATATTTCTGCCCAGGCTTTCTTTTAAATTCAGGTATTTTCCCGGCTTCAACTTTTTTTCCAGGTTCAGGCTTTTTTCCAGCTTCAACTTTTTTTCCAGGTTCAGGCTTTTTTCCAGCTTCAACTTTTTTCCCAGGTTCAGGCTTTTTTCCAGCTTCAGGCTTTTGTCCAGCTTCAAGTTTCAGCCCAGGCTTACTTTTAAGTTCAGTCTTTTTCCCGGCTTCAACTTTTTTTCCAGGTTCAGGCTTTTTTCCAGCTTCAAGTTTCAGCCCAGGCTTTCTTTTAAGTTCAGTTTTTTTTCCGGCTTCAACTTTTTTTCCAGGTTCAGGCATTTTTCCAGCTTCAAGTTTCTGCCCAAGTTTTTTTTTTAGTTCAGTTTTTTTCCCAGATTCAGGTTTTTTTTCAGGTTCAGACTTTTCTCCAGGTTTAGGTTTTTCTTCAGATTCCAACTGTTCGCTTTCTTCTTCTACAGCAACTAACTGGGCTAGAGTAGACCTTTTAAAAAAGAATGACTGTTTAAATGTGCTGAACATACAAGTCAAATACTTAGAAATGCTTACAATAAATCAAATTATTAATTTGAGACACATACATAAGCTAATAAGAAAACCTAACTTTTATTGGAATAATAAAAAGCATATAAATGTATAGTACTTACATATTTCCCTATTGACACTGGACAGATATTTCTCCAAAATTATACCAATCATTAAGCCTTTTAGTTAAATGATTAAGAGATACCAGTTACAGATATATCACACCAATGAACTTAAATAAATATGCACTCAAGCATGTACCAGTGATTCCAGTAAAAGTTCAGAAGGCTACAAACTTATTCAGATAACCAATAGACACAAATTTTATTTATTCAGATAACCAACAGATATAAATTATGGACATGGCATATACAAAAAAAAGGGGGTTGAGATTGCATAGAAAATATGGGGGAAAAACTGAGTGTGTTGTGATATTACATTGAAACATTATTGGAGCTAAATCACAATATTTGGTGACAGATTTTGTTTGTTGAAAACAGTGGATAGGAAAATAAGTATGCACTAAACTTATAAATTAAAAAAAAAAAAAAATTGCTGGGAAATAATACTCTAAAGCAAATTTGATACAATTTCACAAAAAAATATCAATTGTGTCATATGTAGAAGTAACTAACATAAAATACGTAACTGGAATGATAAAATAAATGATGCTCAATTGATCTTGTGTGATATATTCCTGTTATTAATAACCCAAATAAAAGACTCAATGCAGGCAGTGAAAACAATCAACAGTTGCTTAACCTAGAAGATGTTATTAATCCTGATATATGAATGAAAGTTGTTTACATGTCCAATGAAACCGAAACTCTTCCACCTTGCTAAATGCATTGCTTATTTTCAGTTGGAGTGGCTAATAAATATGTAATGTTAAGACTATTTAAAGTCTTAAATGAAACATGGATGAAGCACTTTAAGTTTAAGCTCACCACAAAGCATTTTAAGTTTTGAAGGAAATTAAGTGAAAAACTTTAAAAAGCAAACAAAATTTTCGGATTTGTAGAATAGGCATACTCAGCAATACTAAATTGACAGAAACAAAAGCAGTTATTTTATTGGTAGAGAAGACTTCGATAAATTTAATAATTTTGATTTAAATGAAGAAGATAAAAAAGATACTGACAAGGGAACAGAAGCTTTTGAAAATTATTGTATACCGAAAGCAAATGAAAGTTTTGAACAGCATATATTTTTTTATTGAACACAATAAGCACACAAATCATGTGACGACTTTGTAATAGATTTAAAGAAATTCAGCAGTAATTATGGATTTGCACAGTTAAAAGATAGTTTAATCCAAGACACTTATAATAAGTGGCATTTTAAATAAAAATACTTGGCCTATCATGAGAAGTTCAGTTAACATTGGAAAATGTATTAAAATACGTAAAGCAGTTGAATTCGCAGAATTTTAGCAGTAAAATTTTAACTCGAGGAAATAAAATAGAAGTGATACAGTGGAATAAAATTTCACATTCAGAAGGAAAGGTGCAGTCATGTAACAAAAAAGGTACTTTTCCGTTTTGCCGGCACAAATCTCGCCATACGACTTTATTGGGGAAAACACAAGGTATAGACATAAAAAATGTTGACAAATGTTAGTTCTAAGAATTTTTTATTTTGAAGGTATACACATTTTAATGTCGTTTAAGATTTCTTTAAAAAGGCCGATAAAGAAAGACAGTAAATTTATAAAAAACATTAAGAATTTACTATGCTTTCATCATATAACATCCTGATTCGTCGGTTCACATCACGTGACCCCAAAAGATCTCATCTTGCATAAACTATGCTACAAAAATCTAATTCTCTCAGTAATTATCTACATTAATTTCAAGTTAAATCTTAATTTGGAATACAAGTTTAAATGCAATAATTATTTCAATTCATACAAATAGCTTAATAAGAAATTACGTAAAACCTCAGTGCTTTACTTCACTAGTGCATTCTCATTAGAATTGATTAATTTAACCCTTGCCTTTTCTATATTTTTGCCATCGGTGTGATTGCATTCTAATTGACTTAATTACCGCCTGCGAATGGCCTTAGGACATAAAACTGAACTATCTGGTAAAAATTCTATGTAATTGTTATGCCAGTATTGAAAGAAACAATCAGATATGAAATAGCTTCGACTTGTTTTAAAAATGTGAAAGTTAAAGTAAAAGGTTACCAGCGAGGATATTTCGTTCGGCATCGGTTGTACCATTACTGGTGACTTTATCGCTTGCACCGGCAAAACGGAACAGTACCACAAAAAATATCATATTATACAAGTCTCAAAATAGTGTTCAAATTATCAAGGTTTAGCAATGCAAAACCACATAGAAAATATGGAACTTGTCACAAGTTGTATGCCTGCCCTACTTATGATTTGTTGATCAAAAAGAAAATCACTCTGCTAAAATGTGCACTAACAAAAATATTAACATTGTGCAGAATAATTTAGAACATGAATCACTGAAAATAATACAATTTTAGGATCTGTACAAAATAAGAAGACATTATGTAAAACAGAATGATTTAAAAACTAAAAGTAAACATATCTAAATACTTATATGTCAAATTGGATAACGGTACTCGATGTAAAGCACTACATTGCCTAGATTTAAGCAATTGAATTTAAGAGATAAATATTTGATTAAACTAGAATTCACTTTAAACAATTATAATGGCTCAAAAATTCATATAGTTGGATAGTGTAAATTCTTATGAAACATCTAAAGGTGGTGATGATGAAGTAGAATGTCAAGTAGTAGCATGTGATAAAACTGTTCCAGTTATTTTAGATTTGTTTTCATTGCAATATTTAAATTCATTGCAAAAGGTATGTACAGTAAATCCTGAATTTAGTTATACCCGTGAAAATTACCAGAATCTTTAAGACTTATTTAAGGGAATCAGAAATTTAACTGACTAATACCTATCACAATGGTGTATTTAATTATGGCAAAGCACACTAGGGCTATCTGCCTAAGGGGAGGGATGCCTTTCGTGGAGGACTTTCTAAGGGAAACTGGCTCGTATACACGTTACACATGGGGAAAACCACGAAAACCTCCATGCAGCCAGCCTGTTCGCGGGATTCGAACCTCGGACCGAACTACCAGCGTTCAGCGACTTTACCGCTCGGCCGCTGGTGGGCCTCCTATCACAATGAATTAAAACTACTGATCAAACACAGGCATGAAGGAAAATTCGACCTAGTTTATTAAATCTATTGAAAGGAGAATGGTGAGAATGGATAAAGATGGTATTATGCAGTTAATCAGGCCACACAGTTTATGAATTCACCAGTAAGAAAAAAAGGATAGTAATTTATGAATGTGTTTAGATCCTTAGTACCCTAATGAAAATAAACTGAAAGAATACTGAAACATACCAACTTCTGAAGAAATTTCATCTCAAATGTCAAAAGCAAAAATGTTTAGTACTTTAGATGCAAGCAAACCATTATGGCAAGTTAAACTGTCAAATTCAAGTTTATGTGGTTATTCTATTTGATAGATATTACTTTTTAAGGTTGCTGTATGTTCTATGTTCATTGTCAGAAGACATTTATATTCATAAATCAATAATATATTATAAATATATTATTTATATTTTGAGACTTGTATAATATGATATTTGAAGTTTATCTGAAAATTTTGGTGATACAGAAAGAGTTTAAATATATACAGATAACTTAGTTTTGAAAATAATGTTAGATTTAATTTAAAGGAATATAATATTGGACCGAATAAAGGTAAAAAATATGGGGCATAAATTTTCTACAGATTGTTTAAAACCAGATGAAAACAATATTACGGCTATTCTAGATATAAAAGCACACACACATGGGGGGGGAAGACAGAGAGAGGTTAAAGAATTAGAAATTTTCTTAGAACTGATTGCATGTTTCTAGATACATACCTAATGCATCAGAAATGACATCGTGCTTAAATGATTCGATTCATGGAAAAAAGGGTTATTTGGAATTAAAACGCACTGCATGAAAAATCTTTTATATATGTCATAAACATTCCTGTAGTCTTGTCTAGAGCAGGAATCTCCAAACCTTTTAGCCTGCTGGCCAGATTGGCTGTTTCATGAAACCTCGAGGGCCAAGAGCAAAACAGCAATATAATTATGATGAACAGCATACAAGTTTTTAAAAGAGGCAGTGAGATTTTTATGATTGGATCTATATCTCACAAAGATGATCTTACAAAGAGCTTTGTTTTCTAGATTTTAATGCAGTTTTATCTAATATAATTACTTAAAGCTGTTCTTAAACATTTGCAAAAATATATTTTTGTCACAGAATATAGATATTTCTTCTGTTTAGTACGTATGTTATTTTTCAATGGATTTACCTCCCCGTTGTCACACTTTAGCAGCCTATTTTGTTTACATTTTTATCATGTGCAAACATTCACTCACAAGCATTTTATATTTTGGGCAAGTATTGTGTGAAAAAAGTATCTCCAAAATTAAATTAATTATAACACATACAGAACAAAAATACAGATTTAAATAAAATCACTACTAACAATTTCTATAAACCAACCTAGAATACTACTAGGAAAGTAAGAAAGATAACACACAAAACCTTTATTCTTGTAAAAAGTACAATGAAAATATTTTAACTTCCTTGTATAAAGTAAAGGAAGTATTGTAATTGCGAAAAATTTCGGATACTAATATTTCAACGGAAATATCTATTTTGACCACTCTTGAATACATTTGAAGGATTTTTATTTTTTATTTACTTATTTTTCATAACGTGTGTTCAAAAATTCTCACCAAATTTTTTACCTCAAGAAACTATTCATTACTCGAAAATAACTATATCTCTTGAGTTATTTATGACTCTACAATAATTAAATAATTCCTTTACTCATACTCTAAAATAATGAAAACAAAAGTTACACTAACTCTCTAAAAAGAACAACAACATAG